GCTGCCTGCCTGCGTGCCTGCCTGCCTTGTTTCCTGCTAGGACTGCTGTTAATATAGGGAAGGTAATTGAGATAAATATGAAGCCGGGAAGATTCGACTTGCAGATGGTAAGTGGCGATGCCGTTGAGCAGTTGGCGAGCATGGTTTCTGTGTTTCTGTGTTTCTGCGTAGCCCTTGTCGGCAACTTGATCAAATTAATCAAGTACATTGAAGGGCACTTGTGATTTTCTGCTGATTCAGCATTGGGATATATAAAATCATGCGTGGTCCTCGACCAACAACACAGGCGAGACAATGAATGCACATAAAAATAATAATTGGAAATGAAAACAATTTTCATAGCCGATGCGCAATGAAATGGCACAAAAGCGAGGCGCCAAAAACTCTGTGGGTTTGTGGGCAGCATCGTAATTTCAATTGAGTTGCAGGTGTGTACATATATACATATGAAGTTTCCACACGTAAATGTATATATGTATATTTATGTGTACATATATGTTGCATGTCCTTTTGACCTTTTCGGTAATCTTGCGAGGCAATTATCGTGCCTTTCAAACAAAATTGACTGCAGTAAAGATATGAAATAATCAAAAATGCTAAATGCCAGATGGCTGCTGGCTGCTGGCTGCTGGCAGACGGCAAATGATGGCAAGCGACAATGCCAATGTCAATGTCAGTGGCCACAGGCAGTGCCAGTCGAAGTCAGTGATGCTCATATAATGCGCTTATCAGTGCGCCGCACACGGAAAAGCGAAAGCAAAAGCGACAACCACTTTGCCCATTGGCGGCTGACGAGTGCCTTTTGCGTTGTTTGCATATGCATAAGACCCACGCGGCGTATGGCGTATGCGAAGCGTTCTGTGAGAGTGTCACAAGAAACAGCCGCAGTAACGCTTATAACAATTACCGAATGACTGCGGCTGCCATGACTATGTGGCATCCACACCAACACCAACACCAACAGCAACAGCAGCATCAGCAGCAGCAGCAGAAACAATGCCTGTCGGCAATAAAAACGCAAGCGATAAAATGAATTTTTATGCCGCATTCTCGCAAGTGCCTGCAGCATTGCGCCCATAAGTATGCTACCTTTTTTGGCACTCCAACTGCTGCAAGTATGTGTTGCATGACAAACACGCGAGCATTTTTGCTATGTTTTCCAGTTTGACACAGGACTAAACTAAAGCGTCTTTTAGCTTATTTTATTATTATTATTTGCAGAGATTTTTAATTTTGAAGATCTTTGTGAAATATGTCAAATATTTATTTTTTATTATTTCTTGCTGATTTTTATTAATATTTTTTATTTTTTTTTGTTATTTGCTGAGGCTTATTATTTAAAGCACTAGTCAATTGTATATCCTGCTTTTACTTAAATATCATTTAATTATGTCTTTTGATGACTTCCGGGCTTGCTCGACTTGCCCTGAAGCGAGTGAAATACATATTTAAATGATAAAAATATGTCTGCAGACAATAAGCATTTAAACTATTGGCTTAATTAAATCGTTCATTTATGTAACTGCAAAATATTTAGCTTGCCAAACAGCCTCTCTCTAGGAGTAACAATTCATTTTTGAATGATTTAATCGCAAGTTTATTTCCATCATTTCAAATATGTTGTTTATCATTCAAAAAGAACAACTGCAGCTGAGCTCTATTTATCAAATTATCAATTTTGATTGGCATGTGTAAGAGTGATTAGCAGTCGTTGAGCCGGGCAGTTGGCCTTTTCTTTATTTATATATTTTTTTGCTTAGGTTTGCATTGGCTAACGGCTAAAAATTTGCCTCTTCTCGTCCAGAACATTGCTCACTTATGCAGTCTGCAGTTTCAGTTTCAGTTTGTAGCCAGTACACGTGCCCAAAGAGTGTGTGTGGGGGGGAGGGAGACCAGAGGGGTCAGCCGCCGCAGTCGGGTAGGTGAACGGAGACACATTTACACATGTAGTGCATAAAATGTTTATGAATTTCAGTTTATGGCGCGTAAAACACGCCAATAAATGTTCCCGGGCATTTAAATGCTTTTGCTTTGCCAGCTGGAACTCTTTCCATTTAGACACACACCCTCAACACCCATACCTTTGTTCCTCCACTGCGTCTCTTGTGTGTCGCAATAATAAACAATCAGAGATGGCATAAAGAAGGTGTAAGTTGCTATGGTGGCTACTGTGGCGCGTCTACTATGGTGCACATACACACACACACACACACATTCTACTGTCTCTGGGTGGGCGCATGAATATTTATGCACGACATTTCTTTGCAGCTTTGAGGGCACCATTCTGCCCATGCCCCTGCCCCTGAACCTGCCCCTGCCACCGCCTTAGTCTCAGCCCCTTTCTCTGCATTGCTTTGTTTCACTTGCTGATTTTGTGCTATTTCTTTTCTTGTTTGGTGTTTGTGTGTGTGTTTTGCGCCAAGTGCGCTCTAATGCACTTTACGACACTTTATGGCAGTTGTTACAAAGAACACGACAGTTATTGTTGGCATAAGCAGAAGCAAGCCTTATGGCAAATTAATACAACTATACATAAACATTTGCATTTCTATTTGTATATTCATATTGATTCATATTGGTTATTGAAATAGTTGAGAGCTTATCTGAATAATTTAACTATTTGCTCAAACATCTGCAATCAATGATTTCAGCAATCATTCAGTACATACATTCTCTCAACAAGTTGATTTATTAATGATGTTGTGCTTAATCGCCTATATTGGAGCTATAACTAATTATGCCTGGGACATTCAATGGATTGGTGGACTGGTGTTTATTCAGCGCATGCACATTACCCTTACATGTCAATATTCGATGTGATATATTTTCTGGCAGACAGTTTGATGTTCCGCAGAAATATTTTCCCATATTCGTTTAATTTATTGAACTCAAAAAATAAATTTACGTGCCGTTTCTGATCCGTATTTGTGCGACTGCTATGCAAAGGGAATTCCATTCGATTGATACACTTAGAAATTAAATCGCCTCAGAATTTAGAAAATTGTTATAAAATGAAAATTGTTATGAAAACTAGAAAATTGTTCAAGCTTTCAGAAATAATAAATAATTAAAATATTATTAAAATTCTTACGTTTAAAAAAAAAAAGCATTCATACATACATAAAAAAACACACGCTGGAAATTAGACCATTTTCTTACAACTTTAGAAAAATGTACCCCGGAATCAGGAAGAGGAGAAACTTTGACTTTTAAGATGACACAACTTGCGGCTTAAAAATATATTTTGTGAATCAAAAGGTTTTGTGAGTGTAGGAAAAATGCGTTGAATGCATTTTAATGCGAAAATAGGCAATCGCTTGAACAAAAGTCGCTACAAATTGGCTAATTGAGTTGAATAGAAATTGAATTCGAATTTGATTTTATTACGCAGCTCTATTTTGAACCAGGCTACAAGTTTTTGGCTGCAGGGGATTTAATCGAAACAACGTCATTTTGTGTTATTTCACTTGTTATTTGGTGTCAGGTGAACACTCCGATAGACAACAGAAGCAGCCAGAGCATCACCTGCCATTTGACCCACATTGATGAGTTTGGTTTTAAAATGCGGCCAGTGGCGCCATAAAGCATGACCCAATTGAATTGCCACGCTCCGGCTAATACAATTTTATGTGCGGCTGTTATTAGGCTCTCTGTCTGGTAGGAGTAGTGCCCTGTGGGCTGGTGTCTGGGAAAACAGTGGTTGAGCGACAACAACGGCAACAATACACACACAACAACAATAACAACACATTGTCATTCACCTAGCTACCTACCTATATACTACTAGACCCTTTGGTAGTTGTTTTGCAGGCTTTACGATTTCATATCCGTACTCAAATCCGCATTCGCAAGCCATACACGAATCTAAATCTGAATTTGAATCCAACCTCGAAAGCTAAATTTACGTGTGTACTTTTTGGTTATCCTTTTTTTTGATTTTGTTTTTTTTTTTTGTTTTATTCTTAGCTCTTTGGCTTTTGAGTTGAAACTAATTTATTTCCTGTATTGATTTTGCATCCAGTCGAGTTGGCGTCCAAAATTTATGCATAACTTTCGCTGTTGTCGTCGTCGTCGCCGTTTTCGTTGCTTTGATATCAGACACTTTGATTACACGCCTCAGCTCTGTGTGTGTGTGTGTGTGTGTGTAAGTTTGTGTATTGGTGTGAGTGTGAGAGTGTGGGTGCATGTTTTTCGCATTTTTCTCGCTTCACTTGTCTTGTGCGACGGCTCGTGGCATTAAGTACTCGCAAAAAGAGCCGTTGTTGCCCACAAAAATCTCCATAGTGGCAGACAAGCAGGCGCTCAATCCATTTGCGGGCTAACTGAAGCCAAAAACCCCAGCGCTCAAGCTGACCGTTCTATTCCTCAATGAGCTTCAAAGCCCAAATTGAAAAAAAAAGGAAGAAAAATAATGCTTTTAATCCTGAGGGGCAGACAATCCCCATTCATGATTTTAGCTGTTAAGATACAAGTATTTCATTTTACGCACTCGAAAATTGCATACTCTAAAATAAAATAAAAAATGTGTGCTCAACGACTTAGACAGTGTTTAATCCTAAAAACTTGATTCTTAATTGTACATTTAATAAACAGATCTTGAATTTAAACTAAAACGCAACGAATCCAGTCTTATAATACAACATTTGAAGAAAAGAAAAAAACAGAAAATTAAACTAAATCAAATTATAGCTGAGGAGAAAGTTCTTCATTTTTATTTTATATATTTGTTTACTTTGTTCGTTTCAGTTCCGTATTTTAAAATAAACACATATATTTAATATCACTATTGAATAAATAAGTTGGCTCATAACATTTATATTTGTGTGGAACTATCGAGTCCGAAATATTTATTTTGTCAACATATTATATAAACAGTCACCAAAACATGGTTAGCATTGATAGGAAAATAACATCATACAAAACGTATAACTATTTTAAATGAAATAAACTGACCAAAACCTATCTTTTTCGCATTTATTTATGTGTGGTTACTATTGCAGATACGGCTGTGAGGAGCGCGCGCGCCGAGCTGGTGGTGCGGTGGAGCAGTTGAGCAGTGGTGCTGTTGGCTGTTAGCTGTTGGCTGCTAGCTAATAGCACAGGGAGTAAAACAAAGCTGCCGCCAACAGTCTCAATTGAGGAGCACAAAATGGGGAGCTTGTGCAGATGGTCAAGTGGAATTGTGCCGCAGCCTAGCTGCTGGCTGCTAATGCTGCTAATGCTGCTAATTGTTGGTCAGACTGTTTATGGTAAGTGCGCTCTGTACACATACACACACACACACACACGCACACACACACACACACACACAGACACAGATTCCTATCAGCAGTCAGCGCATATGCATATGTACATACATGTATGTACTTACACACATACACACAAACAACAATTGAGATAAGTGGCCCGACCAAGGGGGTGAAAAGTGAATGTATCGAATATAAAACATTCCATTTCCTCTGCCCGCTGGACCTCATTAGCCGTTCATTTATCCCCGCTTCTTATGCAATCACACACACATACTTGCTTACATAGAAACGAAGTCGAAGTAAATAGCAGTTCCAGCACATAATGATGGCATCTGTGGCACATGTCTATGGTTGATGTCTCCAATTGCCTCGGAATAAAATGCAAACATTTTTATACCCTCAACCCATTGAAAATGGGTACAATGAATTTGTGCAAAACTATGTGGCAGGCAGAAGGAAGTATACATTTATTCTTGATCGGCATCAACACTCGAGGCCGTCTGCTTGGCCGTCTGTCTATCTATCCTACACAGATCAGCAATTCACTTTCATCAACTGTGGTAATTTCATCAAGTTCGGATAAAAATCACAGACATTATTAACTAAAATGCAGTTTCAGTTTTCGCAAGCCAATGTTTTTTTGAACTTAGGGTATCTCCTGGTCGAGCTATCTTGATTAAAGCATTCTGTCATACTTGTTATTTGTATGTTTGTGTGGCATCCATAAAACATCGACCAATAGCTGTTTGGCGGCGCTCTAGTTTTGCCAAGAACCCAAAGCCGTGCTACCCCCGAATTCAATGCCGCACCAAAAAAATTCTTTTGAAACACGTCCACAAACACACACATTTATATACACACACTTATATGTACATATATATTTATATATATAGAGAGAGAGAGAGAGAGAGAGAGAATTAGTTTACTTGTTTTCCCGCTTGGCTGTAATTAATTGACTCGCATTTTCGCGTCAAATATAAAAACAACTCAAAACTTTTGCCAACCAATTTTTGTATGTGTGTGTGTGTGTGTGTGTGTGTGTGTCAGTGTGTGTGCATGGACAAAATGGCAAACAGCTGCATTCACTGCAGTCAAGGTCATGCGGCAAAGAACAACTTTTTCATTTTTCGCATTTGGCACTTTGCCAAATTTTGGTCAACGGTCTTATATTTAAACTAGGCTCTTTACAAGCACATCACATAAGCACACACACACACATATACACACACATATACACACACATACACACAAATATGGCAAACTCAAAAAAGACAACAACAATAACATGAAAAGATAGTTGAGAAAATAAATAAATGCTTTGTCCGTGATTCAAGTATTATTTGTATACATGGTATTCCCATTTAATAACTGAGGAATACTATTAAATGGATTAAAGAAGAAGTACTCGCTTAGTTACACAACAGATATTCATAAATAGCCTTACCAAAACAACCCAAATACTGTGAGCCCTTTGTGTTTGTACAATAAATACACACATGACTTTGAGCTGAATGCAATTGAAATAAAACTGCAGTAAATTTATGTTATTTAAGACTTTGTGGTTAAAATGTAGTTTACCTTTTGGCATCATTGAAATTAAATCTGCTGCTGAAATGAAAAGGATTCATCAAAGGTACAAATACCACAACACGCAACTCAAAAATAAAATACTGGCGTATTTCATTATTTTAATTATTTATTTACTTTTATTTTATTTTATTTTTTTGGTAATTTCAAATATTGAAGCCATTTTCTTATTTTTGTGCTGAAGTGTGAACAAATATTTGCGAGATTGAAAATCAACAACCTTTTTTGTTATTTGAAATCGAATATTCAAAATGCTTTCGCCAAAGAAAGGCAAAGAGGACAACCGAGGCGATGCCATAAGAGGCTTAAAGGAAAAAAGCAATAATGTTAATAATGTCGGCAACTAAATTTAGCATCACTCACGGTAGTAGCCATAACAATTAAGTCCGCTCAGTCCACTCAAGCCGCTCGGCCGTGCCACAGATTTGTGTGGCCATCGGCTAACACTGATGATTGAGATTAATTTCGAATTCTTGGGCTACAGAATAACAGCTGTCGGCTGCTTCCGGTTTCTATTTATGTCGGATAAACAGTTTATCATTAAATCTGAAAATTAATACATGCCATAAGAGCGAACAAAACACAACAGCCTGCAGCAAGACGCCTCAAATGGTGGCAAGGCTTTACGTATATAACATGTCACGGACATCATACACATTCATACAGACACACACATTCATGATTATACCGTATCCTCAGCCTCAATCGGCAGTTGTATAGAAAGTATGTCTAAGGTATGCACAACACATACTTATTGTTATTCTCAATTGATTACGGGGTATCTCGGATTCGTTGATCTCAGCCTTGTTTACTTTGCATATTTCTTTGGATTTATTTTTGCTTTCCGCTTCACCAATAATTAAATAATTTCGACATGAAAAACTGGGAAAAATGGACGAAAAAATTGGGCTTCGTCCCAAGACCGAGAGAGCAAAGGAATCTCAATGAAAGTAAAAATGAAAATGTGAGGCACTCATCGTGCCACACGTGTCATGTCGTCTGGCAGCGAAGCGGAAATTGGGCATCTCACTTAAATTAAAAATGCGAGAAACTTACGAAAACGCGTCCTTCTCATTGAATTAAATTTAAATATATGCATAAGCCAAATGCTAACAAATGCTGTAAGAAATGCAAATGTGAATTTTCAACAGCTTAATCAAATTGCAGTGCATAATAATGACCTGGATTTTCACCAAAAAGCCAAGCGAAAAAAAAACCCATTCGATTCGTTTGCCCCTTGAAATCTATTCGACAGCCCATTTCTGCATCTGGATGTGGAGTTGGAGTTGGGGTCGATTGAACGCCGTGCTCCCTACAGATATATTTGTTTGCTGGATTTATTTATTTGAAATTAGAAACAAACAAATTCTCTGTAACGAAATCCCAGGCTATTAATCAGGCCCTTTTGATCGTCTGCTGAACTTTTGAATTGTGTTCTGTTTGGCAAAATAAACAATTAATCAATAGATTGACTATGAGTGAGCATAGTTTATTATTTTAGTATTTTACATTTGTGTATATTTAATTCTATAAGTCTATACATAAATTGGCCGTCAAGTTTCTACAATTCATTTGAAATGCCGGACTTCAAGAATATGCCTGAAATTGTATGGACCTGACTGACTGGCATTTTGAGCAACCATTGAGCAGCCATCGATCAAATGGAAGTAGTTGTACCACTTACTTTCACATAATTAGTAACATCAACTGAAACTTTGAAGTATTAATCATAATATACGATAATACAAGAGCCACCGTCTAATTCTAAAACAAAGAAGAGTGATCGTCTTAGGCGCACCGAAGAAAACATACCCTGCCAACATTTATAAATTCTACTATAAATAGACCGACCGATTATTCCTATGAAAGCTATTTAGAAAGCTGTTATATCAAAAAAGTAAGCATGAAGCAGTCAACTTAAAACGACAAAATTATAATACCCTCTAAGCATTCAAAATTTAAACTTAGATCGGCAAAACAGTCTTAATTACTGTAGAATCAGGCACAGAAATCATGATAATTAATGTTTAATCTCAATCATCATTTTTATATTTGAATAGTAGTAGTAGTGATATTGTCAGCTTGATTGAATGAGGCCAATTAAAATGCACTTTTATTATCTCTTCAACTAAATTCAGTTATCTAACAATGATGATATAGCCCTAAGCTAAAAAATTTGAGTTGTGTGCTCTTCACACTACATGCAACTCAAATGTAGTTTTCTTATTCAATCTTAACATATACACTGTTGTGAAATAAAATATAAATGCTGTAAAATAAATAGTACCCCGTAAAGAAAGACATTTTGTGTGCATACTTTTACATGTTAAATGGTGTATGCTATTCAGTTTAGTAATGGGCAAAAATGTTGTACAAGTAGAGTATTCAGTAATTTTAATCGTAGTTTATTTTGCAATTTCTTTGCTTGCCTTAAATTATTGATGGCACTTTAGTTTACAGCGATTCTCACCCCAACCTATTTAATTGGCTGTTAATTTAATGAAAGCTTAAAGCGTTCATAGGGTGGGTGGGGATGAATGGAAGAGTGGTAGTTAATGTTAAGTACATCTGGAATTTGAAGCTGTGTTTTATACCTCTTTTACGGCTCGTCGCATTTTCCATTTTTGCTCCAAATGTGAGCTGACCCAATTGCGAAGGGACGCACTGCCATTGCTCCAGGGGATTCATATCTGTGCCTGGATCCGCTGACACTGCCCCTGTCGCCGCCTCTTGTGCAACAGCAGCTTGCACAACTTTAACGAATTGGCGCTTTATTTAACATTAGCTAATTTGTGTTTTTATATTTGGCAACGTTTTTTTCAGCTTTTTTTTCTGCTTCTTAGCTGTTGGCCATTTGACTTGAGTGCAGCAACATTGTTGTTGTTATTATTGATGCTTCTGCTTGTAGTTTTGCAGTTTGTTTAATTGATGCTGTACTCAGAGTTTTTGCTACTGTCGCTTGACACTGATTTCAATTATAAATTATTTTCCTCTTTCGCTGGTTTTTGTTGCTCATCCTTTTCGCGTACCCCTTGGTGTTCCTCACCCCGTTTTTCTGTTTTTTCCGTTCGCCTCTATTCCTATTTACACTTTTTCCCATTTGAATACCCTCTATGCAATAGCGGTATCAAATGGGGTATATAATGTGCAACTCGGAGAATCGCCATACTTTTGGCGCCAATTATAACACATCTTATACTTCAGAAAGTATATTTATTTTCTTAATCGCAGGGTACAGTTTAAGAAATTTAGAAAATATATATGCCTATTTTCAAAACCCAGCAGTAAAGAGAGCAAACTTTACTATTTTCTGAATTTCAGAAATACTTTTGGAAATATATTCCACTATTAACAAAAATATTTCTGAGATAGAAGAAAAAACTTCCTAAGTGAATAGTTTTACTTTACTTTTA